TTTCTGATGGTCTGTTGATAAAACAGGAAAGGCATTGTAGCAGTTTCGTCACATACAAGCAAAATCAACCCTGTTGAAACAGTTCACAGGTACTCTACATACAGTCACATACAATTCTTTTCAGAAATGGGGTATGTCTAAATCGTTAATCTTTAATCCACAGTTCCAGTTCTTTAGTGACATTCCTGGGTGTTTTAAAAAGGAGGAGTGGGATGTGTGTAACTTCTCCAACTAGATGTCTTTGCAAACCATGTTAAATACCAATCATTAATAATACTAAAAAAAAAATAAATTGTATAAACACTTAGCATCAATCCTAGCACACTGTGCGGAAGGGATTAGGGAACTGCAGATATTCCACCTGGCTGTCAGAGATTTTTAGGAAGAGTCTGAGGTATTTGGCATTCTGTTCAAAGAGTTCCTTTAGGTTAAAAGAAATCCATGTTCCTTCTCAGTGGAAACTTAAATTTCTTTTTGGCTGATCTTTAGATATTAGTAATAGGTGAAACAACAAATAATTAATAGGCAGTCATCAAAACAGTTATGAAAACAAAAATGATAAATTTAAAAACCAATAAATTATAGCAAGTATGTGTCCTGCCTGCATACTTACTGACTTGTAAGGGTAGGAGTCTCTCATGTCAGAATTTGAGCAAGCCCACTTTTAATTTGGTTTAGGTAATACTATGACTGGTAATTGCAAGGAAGTATTGTAGTATAATAAAATGCTTTTCCCCAAAATCTGTTCTGAGCCCAAAATCCCTTGCTCTTTAACACTGCCTTCACATACATTCTCTTTCACTGGGTATGTCTGCCCAGTCCTACCATTACTTTAGGTGGGCATTTGTTCCTAAATTTGATCCAGGAATCAGTAAATTTATAGTAAATAGTTTTGTGAAAATCTTAAAAGAGCTAAAGTTTTAATTTATTTGAAGATTTACAGAGATGTGGAAGGTTGAAATAAAAAACAGCATTAGGTTCTGTAATGCAGTAATTGTCATGAAGATCTTCCCTTTCCATGTGCTAACATTACAATATGCTCTAAAGTAAATCGAAAGAATTGCACAATAACTATCAATCAGTGGCATTATTTGACAATGTATCTTTATGAACTTATTTTCATAACCTGCTGCAAACTGCATCTGGAGAGTCTGTCTTTTCTACCTTTTCTTAATTTGTGTATGATATATGGCACAATTTCTCAGTGTGGCCCTGGAGCTGCAAAACCCTATGCTTCTATGCAATCCCCTTAAAATACAGATTTGATCCAGCACACCTTATATACCTTTGGTACATTTCCCCTTACAAAGCAACTTGGAAGTGACTGTAGCCACTGTGAAACTCTGGCCAAATAAAACAGCAAATAACCTTATGTCACTTTAAAAATAGAAAGCCAATCAAATAAAACTTATCGCTTTATCCTTTCCAGAAGGCAGTGTTTTCCACCAGATCCAGTCATGAATTTTCATTTCCTCCAGTTTTACATCAGTCCCAAGTCCTGAAGGAGCAATCACCAATTTGCTTCCATTTAATGTTTATGTCACTACTGTGGGCAATAAATTTAAAGCAAAACATGAAGCATTGCGTTTCTACCTGTGGTCATACTTTCCTTTACACTCTGCTGAGGAACTCCCACACCGTAACGTTTCACATGTAAAACCTCCAGTTAATTGCCAGCCGCTCAAAGAGGGTAAGAGCTTAAAGCACTGCCAAGTTTCACAGCCTATATATCTTAAATATATCTTAAGAGCAGAATTCTGGTTTTCGGTCATTTGGGATCCTATGACTAGTCTTTAAACTGAATAGAAATAAGAGGGACTGAGGGAAAGATGAGACAGACCTTTTGTAAAAGCCCTAACCACGTGGGACGCGTTGTATTCAATTTGTGTCTTAGAAGATACCTGCAAATTCATCTTTGAGAAGAATGTTGGTTGACTAATTAATCCTGTAGGGTCTAGTAAAGTGTGAGCTATGGCTAAAGCACTTCTGGTGGGTAGATTATGTAGAACAGCTTCTCCCTCTGTGGAATCTCTGACGTTCAACAAGACCTGAGCTCACGCTATGGTTTTTCCTGAAATTATAGTATTAAGAACACATCCTCCTCCTTTCTTGCACAAGGTTAATGAAAATTCATTTCTTAATGCCTCTTCCTCTCTGCCAAATTTGACTGAAATTAGTAAATTGAAAGACAAATATACAGAGAATGAGCATGTAAGCCTGGGTTCCTTTGGAAACTGGTGAAAAACAAAACAAAAATTCCCTGTGTTCATTTCCCAAGAACAGGCAGCTCAAAAGGCGGTTTGCTTGGGCAGGTTGGTTATGCTGCATGCCTCTATACTAAGTACAAGCTGTGCTAAGCTTGAACTATAATGATATATCACATGGTTAAATCTGAGGTCCAAAACCTATGGCATTGTTTGTTTGTGTACATATATTAACAGAAACCATATACATTGTTCTGGTCTCCCAGTGCAGAAATACATGAAGGAATACAGTTCAGACTCTTGAGGCAAAACCAAGCCAGCTTAAAGGAAAAAACAAGCATGGAAAGCTGCAGCTTTATTAAGTGAATGTTTTAGACCAAGAAAGACTGGAAGTTAAAGTATATTCTAATATTTGACAACAATGGCCGCATTTAATTTGCAATTGCTATGTATGAACTATTCCCAGTGAGTAAGGGACAACGCACATTATATCCTTACTATAGTTAAACCAGACACCAATATTCCACAAAATTAATCTATTATACTTTTTTTTGCTTATTTTATAGGAATTCCAACACCCATGAATTATCAGTCCGTATTGCATCCAGTGGCATGTTGTAACTTGTGTGCTTATTTAAATCATTAGATATTAAGCATTAAAGAGTAAGTGTATTTTTACTGGATCGGTCCTTACTGTATGTTATGGCAAAAAAAATATATTCTTTATTTGCTTACAAAGTGCGAACTAGACACAAACTTTTTTTTTTAATAGAACCATTTTTCATGCATACAGAAAATTTTCATGAGGCCGAGACAAAAGCATAACAAGAATCTAATTTTTTTTACCTTTCTGTTGTTTTACACATGCATTTTGGTGAGCAAGCAACTATGTCAGACATAAGCAATTTTTTTGAATAGGACACTGTTTCTGCAAGTCTGAAATGGCTGTATGAGGGTGAAGCACCTTGCCTGCATTCATCCATGCTATTTTAGAACAGAATATTTCAGTTGGAAGGCACTGCATTAGTTTGCTCTAAAAAAACGCACACAAGTCTGAAGCAGAAAATGACCGTATTTCACAGGCAAGCAACAGAAAAGCAAATTAAAAGCTATGATGCCTGCATTAATACATATTAGCTAAAACTAAACAGACTGCTGCTGGCACACAAGCTAGAGAGTTGGTCTGCTCAAAGGGACAAGCAGTCATGTCAAAGTAGGGCAGAAAACACAGGCTGACCTCAGGCTAATTTTTAATGCCTTTGCCCACCATTTTAACCAAAGCAGACCTGACTGTGAGAGCACGTACCAGCACCACATCGCCCCTGTCCAAGCACCCGTCTTGGTGCTGCAACTTGGGGTGTGTAGCTGCAGAAGAAACCAGCGCCCATCGTTCGGGCTTCCACCTTGGGTCAAAGCCACTGGCGTGAGCTCACCAGAAAGGCTCCGAGACCACCGTGAAGTAAAATGGGAGCACTGCGAGTTAGAATAGCTCAAGCTGCGATATTATTGAGCCTACAGAAAAGCAATTTAATCAAAACCACTTTAAGTAAACGTTAAAAAAAATTATCAGGAAAGGTTTCTGCCTTACAGAGTACCCGAGTTTACGTGGGTCAGCTTCACTTCAGGGAGTGCCTTCAGGCAAAGCGGGGGAGGCAGGGGCAGCAGAGCCGTGA